GACTCTGCATGTGTTGTTAGATCGGTGTGAGGAAATGAATTGAGTATGTCGCGAGATGTTAGCGTTGTAAGGTCTGGCCCCGGATATTAATCACGATTAGCGGAGGTAGTGCATGGACTTGAGAGCTTTCGCGAGTGGATTCAGAGTATGTATGGTGCATGGGATAGTGGTTCTTCCACGTGACACTTGTGGTAGTGTCAAGGTAGCCAAGTGGATCTCCTTGGTAAAGAAAAAGGTAAAGGAATGTAGCTCCGAGAGGGAATGTAAGTCACAGAAGTGAATTAGTAGTGTGAAGTTATGATTGAAGTGTTTCAATTATGATTATTGCGCAGTGTACGGTGGCGATATGGAATCACATCCGGTTTGGATATCTGCCGAGGTCTCGGATGGAAATTCCAAGGGTGTAAAGTCAAGAGACTCGTAAGGGATGTAGAGATGGAGTCTTGGATTCCGAGCTCGATTTCGGTTAAGAAATTGTGTATGTAGTGGTAATTCATCACGGGGGATGTTTGAAGGAATTGTTAGTGTATTGGGTTTTCTCAACCTGAGGATGCTAGAGCCAGTTCAACATGGGTATGAGATTGCGGAGGGGAACTCATGAGGTCCTAATATTCTTCTGGTTGAGTCATGAATCGGCGAGTCAATGGAGGACTCGGTGAGTTGAGTGCGAGGGGACTCAGAGTTGTGAGACTTGGCGAGTCTCGGGGTGACTCGGCGAGTTGAGTCGCGGATTGGGGAAGTTCTGAGCATGGGGACTCGACGAGTCACTAGGTTGACTCGGCGAGTGGAGTCAGTCAGGAGGATGAGTTTGACTTTGACTTTGACCAATGGTTGACCAGTTGACTTCCAGGGGCATTTTGGTAATTGTTGGCTTTTGTTTTGAGTTCAGTGTTGGTGTTAGCAGTGGTGGAGATCGTGTCAGTGGTCGGAGCATCTCGGTCTTATCTTTCCAGCAGCAGATGCGAGGTGAGTTATCCTCAATATATCAACAGGGTCTAAGGCACCAAGGCCGACCCTTTATCGGATTGTAATCCGGGTATTGTTGTTATATTGCTGTTTTACTATGTTTGCATCCTGCTAGCTAGGATGGTATTCGTTATAGACCTGGTTAAGGTCGGTATCCTGGTATATAGGGAGATTCTATGCTAGTGACCGGTTAGGTTGGTATCCTGCTTAGAGTATGTTGTGTTACGTGATCTGCTAGATCGGTTTGATTGAATATGAATTGTTGTGTGATTGTATGTTTATGTGCATGTGGTTGTTTGACTGGGGTTGGGTTGAGGCGGGGCCTGCTTTGTGCTATAGGCCAAAATACCCAGGGTGGACCGGTTACTCCGAAGGCCCAACGAGCGGTCAAGATAGGCTGTAGGCCCCATGAGGGCGGACCAGACGTGCCGAGGCTCGGAGAGTGGATCAGGCCGATTGAAGGCCCGATGCAGGCGGAACGATCATACTTTAGACTCAAAGAGTGGACCAGGTGGGTTGAAGGCCCGGTGCGGGCGGACCAACCACACTGCAGACTCGAGGGACATGACTCAACTCGGAGGGTGGACCAGGTGGACTGAAGGCCCGACACGGCGGACTAGTCAAACTGTAGACCCGATATGCATGGTTTTTCTGTGATTCAATATGATATAGCATGTTATGTGTATGGTATATGTGGTTGGTATTTTCGGTGTATTTTACTAAGCTTTCAGGCTTACAATAGTGGTTTAATGTTTTTTAGGTTCTTCAGGAGACCATGGCAAGGCAAAGGCGTGATCGTACCGCTCCTCGAGTTTGTGTTTTATTATATGGTTCTGGGAATACTCTGATAATAAATGTATTGAAAACCTTTTTGTAATAACATTATTAAAATGGGTTGTTTTTGAAAAGTTTAAATTTTGTTGAAATTTTTGGTCGTTACATTTTGGGCTCTGACGATTCAATAAATCTACTCAGATAGGCATAAAAATGTTCCTCTACTGATGGATGCTCCTGTGGTATATTTTCATTTTAATGTTGTGAAATCTTATTGGTTATCAAATTTGACATCATATGGACCCATCTAAAGACAACCTCAACATATGTTGGACTCTATTCCTTCAGATTATATTTTCAAATAAAAACATCTTGAGGTTTCAGTTTTAGTTGACACACTAAATCCTACCATAATCCCGGATGCAATCCCTTCGAAGAAAATAGACCTACTACTTTTGGTGCCAAGATCAAAATTTTAGCCAAGAAACGTAATCGACCTCCTTCCAAAGTTAAAGCCAAAAAGAGATCCAAAACTGATTTTTCCAATTAACATGATATACAAATTTGTTTCTAACCTGACTATGGCTGTCAACCTACCCTTCCTACCTATTCTTCTGAAGTACTCTTCGGTGTCTCGAAAACAAATGCACACATTCATGGGGAGTATGCACATGATATACCCCCACCCACCTAAAATGGTGGTTCAAGTATTGAACAAAGTTCCTTGGAGCCCCTGGCACACACTCAAGAGTCAACTTGAATCCCTTAACTTCAACATAAGCATGATTTAACACTTTCCTTATAAATCCTATGCTTTCCGAAGAAGGAGTTGTCCCTCTTTCCTCAGAAGTCTCAACCGAACACATACCTACCATGGGTAAATGATATTTGGGTGCTACTAACTCTAAATGGGATGATTTTCTTGATAGGGTTCAACTAAGACATCCAAAACTTACTTGCAAAAAAATCGAGTACACCATCACAAGAATGAGACTAAGACTTGCATGCTCCCAATGTGATTTCCAAATCATTCCAAAGGATGTCGAATTTGATGTTTATCTTTTCCACATCAACAATGAGTTCAATACGTCTACTATCCAAACTCACGATGATGTTCCCACTAAATTGGATGATCCATCATCCAATGTTGTTGTCAAGAATCGAAGTGCAGATGTGACTGATCCAAAGATAGTTTTGGATGATCCTCCTCAGAACGTATCTACTACAAAAAAATCAAGTGTAAATGTTCCCAATCAAAACCATTCGGACGAGACTCCTCGGACCAAAGAAGCTACAAGAGAAGTTCATGATTCCTCTAAGGTCTCAGATAATCTTCCTCATGTTGATGATGATTATGAGAGTGTTCAAATTATGTTTAGAGATAACGCTACTGAGATTACCAATCTTCCACCTCCAAATCTTAGTTGTAGTTCATAAAACCTTCTTTTTCTAAACCTCCAATGGGATTTGACTTCCAATTATCTTTAGACGAAATAGAGATAGGTAGTAGAGAAGATAACCAAGAGAAAGCTCCTCCAACTAGTGGTGTTATTGGTAGTAACCTTAATGATGATGGCAGTGGCTGTGATGATAGAGAAGTAAGTCAAGTAAAGTAACCAGTTTGGATACTGGATCGATGGATGAGATCATAGTAGATCCTTTTTCTTAGCTTGAGATGCGTGATAATATTGAGAGAGTTTAAGAAAACATAGATAATGTCAATGCTCAGGTTGGGATCTCGACTCAAAACATTATTTCATTCTTAAATCCATTTATGGCATCAAGTGTGCTACCTGCAAGACCGAGAACAACATATGGAACATTTGATATCGCTCTGAGTCAAACACTCAATGGAAGAATACGAGAACCACTATGCTATGTTGATCAAGCACCACGAATAAAGGTTTTGGAAAATGATTGTTATTCATGATGTGCCAGTCACAACAACAAATGAGCTTTCCAGAAAAACAATGTCTGACATGAGAAGCAGCTGTAGAGATTAGAACAAAAAAACCATTCAAAGTGCGACATGAAACTCATAAAGTAGCATGTTCTTATCAAAGTAATCTAGTTTGCCCAACATTTAATGGACATTCGAAACTATAAGTTTGATGAAGTCCTTGCTATCTTTAAAGAAGTGTTGGATAATTTGAAATATCAAGCCTCTAGTACTGATGCCTATGATAACCTTTCCTACATGTTAAATATCAGCTTCTATAGGGTGTTTGGCAAGATTGAAGATATCAAGGAGAAAATGATGCTTGCACCGAGAGTCAAGCCTTTTGATACAAGATGGGTATAAGTAGTTGCAAATGGCTAGAAACCAAGCTCGAAATTTTGACTATGAGGTGAAACAACTAAAGAAGAAAAAGATGATGAGATGAATGTCAATTATAAAGTAAACTTAGCAATGCAGTCTGAAAGAGAGCCACTTTCTTTTAAAAAATCATTTATGATGAAGACAAATCGAAATGGTCTTCCTGGCCATCAAACATGGTTGATTCTTTCAAAAAACAACATGAAGCAAGCTAATGTAAAATCGAAATTGTCTATTTATGCCTTTTGAGAAACTCAACCTGTGCTACATCCAACCCGTACTCCAAGCGTCACCGCAATTAATGAAGGGTCCCTGATTGTCTGCTCTGAAATTGGTCATACTGATCTTAGAAGTAATTGTGACTCCAACTGCTCAACAACTGATACAAAAAGTCACCCATGAAGCCCCAATCAAGGATAAAGGAAAATACATTACATTCTCTCTTATTGCCACGGTGAAGTCTTTGAAATTTTTTAAGGGTGGATCTCAAGCTCAAATTGATCAAGAATTTGAAGAGAGTATCTGGCTTTATGCATAAAAGGATAATCTTAATCCTTTTTTATCCATTTCTCCGTAATTCCTTGAAGGAATACATACGTGAGTTATACACTACAAACTTGTGATTCCAAACAACTCAATCAGCCCATCCCTCCTCACGTCAAGTACTACATTAAAATCAATCCTCTGCACCCACCAAATGAACAATAAATTCTTGTCATCCTGAAAGAGAAGGACTAAGCTCATTATACACCATTAATGCTCTTCCAATGCAAGAGGTATGGTCCAAATGAAGAATCACAAAAATTACTAGTTGTGGAATGGAGGTGCTAAAGAAGTTCAGAATTGACTGTATTCTCTCCCAATACTTCGTTCATTGAAATTCTAAGAAGAAAATCAAGACTCAGATCCAAAGTTTCCCACCATCAACCCTAATGATCTACTTATGATTTTTGCCCGTCTCAAAGATAAAGAAACTTCTAAACTCAACATCGGAGCATACACCTCGGCTCTAAACTTCCTGAAAGACTACATTGTTGAATTTGGCCGGTCGGATGTTAAGTTTGCCCCATTTTTTAGAACTAAGAAATTACTTCAACAAGTCAACACAGAGCTAGAAGAAGTTGATTTACTCAATGGCGACCTTATCATAGATCTAAAACTCAATTATGTGTACCAAAAAATAATTCAAACAAAAAGGAATTCTTCCGAGTTAGGCAAAAGAACTTGGTTTATACCCATGTGCTTCAGAAATTTAGTTCCAGATCTCAGGACTCCAAAGAAGCAAAGAAAGAAATGATCAACCAATTCACATGGTTGATCTAAGTCAAGAGTTAGATGCAAATGACATACTTGTTCTCCTTTGAAGAAAAGATGAAGAAGCTCAATGATTGATAAGGTCACTTAGATAGATTATTAGTTTGTGACAAGTGACCCTTACTCAATCTGAAGCAAGGAAGATTTCATGATGACTGTGTGTCCGAAGTAACAAGATTTCTTTGAAGAGAAGATTTCCTAGATTGAAGATGCCTGGATGATCTGATGACTATTACTATTTTGTTTGTTATTACTTTGCCTTATTTATTATAAGACTTGTAGGAGACAAGGTCGAGAACAACAATGTGTTAGGCAGTTGATCTGTAGTTTAATTTTAGCACATTTTATCCTACTATGATTTGTTCTAGGTTAGTATAAATAGGTCCATCACCTCATTTAACTCCTTACCTTTTCACAACCTTTGAATCATCAATCAAAGAATCATTCAGTAAAATCATTTCATTCTTTTTGCACTTAAGTTCTTCTTACTATTCATATTCTTATAATATATTTTCTTACTTGAATACTTTGTTGTTCTATCTCTTCAAGGCTTGACTGGTACTATCTACACTTGAATGGAATAGATTATTTGCATCTAATTTTACGTTTATCTCAAGGTTTAAGTTATTGAACATTTTCCTAGATATCTTCGGAAAAATATCGATTTTTAAGGTTTTCATTTAATCAGCATTAATGAAACGTCCAAAAATTTTGTCCAACAGTTATATGATTCTCCTTTTAAATCCCAAGACACATGATTTGGCATGAAAAATAAGAAATTAACTCGGTGTTTTGTTGAAACCAAATCGATGGTTTCCCTTTTTCTACCAATAAATGTGACAACCTGAAATTTTCCATTCTAATCAAACCATTTCAATCCAATAGAAGTAGAGCAGTTCAAGTAAAAATTCAGACTTAGAATATAAGTTTGGCAGTTTCAGGGTTTTACACCTAAAGAGATATTAGGAGAGTGGTTGCACTAGGATTTTGTGCAACACTGAAATTCCATTACCCTAGATCATTGGAATCCATTCCGAGAATAGATATATTTTCTGCCAAAAATCTCAGGACTATAAATAGAATCCTTAACCAAATTAGTTCATTAGTTGAATTCCATTTAGAGAAAAGCCAATTTCTCTCTCACGGATCTTCGAGTTTTCATCCCAGATTGTGAGTCTACTTCCTTAGATGTGTTTTAATACTTGTTATATGCTTAATAACATTATTTACATGTCCAAAACACAAGATCCGGGAGCATACGGCCCAAGAACGTTCTTGGGGTGTAAACTCCAAAACAAAGCCTAAAGGCCATCTAGTCCCAATTCCTTGTTAGGCAACTAGTTAAGGACTCTATGTATGAACATTAGAGGCTAGAAATCAAACAAAACCATATAGTTTTAGGAGCTTACGGCCAAGGATATGCCCTTGGGCCGTAAACCCCTTTTTTAAGGGCTAAAAGTGCCCTAATCACCCCCAAATGCTTGGACTCTATTTTTGGCAATTACCTTAATGTGTTTAGGACCTAGGAAACATAAGAAAAGCACAAGTATTGAGGATTTTACAGCGAAGAGTGGTTCTTGGGCCATAAACTCCCATAAAGGGGTCAAAGGACACCCTAAATCCTTCCTTAAGCCAAGAGACAATTTGGACAAGTACCTAGTTGAGTATTGGACTAGTGAAAATAATTAGAACCCCAAGAGTGAGGGAGTTTACGGCCCAAAAGGTTCTCTGGCCGTAAACTCCATAAAATGGTATCATTTAGTGCCATAAACTCTTCCAAAGCCAAGTACAAAAGCCTAGAATTGTTCCTAGTTATTATAGAGACTTGAAAGCACCATAATCACCATCCCAAGGGAGTTTACGGCCGTAAACTACAAGGGAAAAGGGTCTTTGGGCCGTAAACTCCCCAAAGGAGTCAATATGGTGCCCAAACACTTGTATAAGCCTTTAATAAATTCCCACTAGAGTTGTAGTAATTGTAAGCATCATTTCAAGACTTGGTTGAGAGTTTACCGCCAGGAGCTTACTCCCCTGGGCCGTAAACTCCAATGAATATGGTCATTAGACCTTAAACTCACATTAGGGGCATTGCACTCCTTTGTTGCAACCCTTTAGCCTCCTAGCACTTGACCAAAAGTGTTTTCCTCGCGCTTAAATGTTATTACTTGTATAATCAGTGGTATAATCACTAATTATTTATATACATATGTTTTCATATGTAATTAGGATCATTGTGTGTGTCTAAGTCTCCACTTGACACCAAACACTTGTCCGATCCTTCCGTACGATAACAGTCCGTTCAATTCCAGTAACTTACTGCAAGTGAGTTCATACCCCTTAACTAATGTTTTAAACTATTTTTAGATGTTTTATGGGGGGATACATGTAGAATCATGCTACTTATTATGTCAATCACATGTGATTAGTAAGTATGATTATTTACTTATTACATAAATCACATGTGATTAATATACAACATTCCAATGATTTGGCTACTCATTACACGTTTTAACAAACAGTTTCCTTCAAATGATTCTTATAAACGTTTTGTATGTTTTAATACTCCTTATTACACTATACATCTTACTCCGTACATTACCTTTCAAACTTATTTACAACTGTGTTTCAAACAAATGTTTCCTTATACTTAAACTGTTTTATTAAACTTATGCCTTCAAATTGTTTTAGAGATTGACATCAAGTCGATCTTTTCTTAAAATAATATTTATATTTCAAATGTCTTACAAAACTTATTTATGCTTTTATATTATAAATTGCATGCCTCTATATGTATAGTTATATAAGAAATGTCTAAAAGACTTAGGAAGGCTATCCACCCTATTTCCTTTTCGCGCCTTGAGATGTGGTCTGGTGGGATATCGGATACTCGTCCGAAGGTCATTTAAATATTAGTTATATATCATGTGTACATATAAAGTCATAAAAGGCCCTTCCAGTTCATCCTATGCCCTTGGGTAGCAAGGGTATACATCCATATCCACACGTACCACATAGATTACTAGAAAGCTACCATATGTGTAGTTCAGGAAGATACTAGACCCATTACTAGAACACGATATCATACAATGAGTCAGTTCATTCATGAGTCAATACTTTCTAGAACATTACTGTACATTACATATACAACTATACTAGGACGAGAACATATACAATATACTAGGACGAGAACATATACAACTATACTAGGAAGAGAACATATACAACTATACTAGAACGTTTACATTACTATACTTGCTAGATAGAGAGAACACACATTACAGCTAGCACACGTAGGACCTTATAGTACTCTACTATAATATTTACATGATCACACTTATAGGAGTACTTTTGCATAGATATATCAGTAGGAATCCTATTACATTTATATGTATCGACTCTGTTATCAAATCCTCATTCTTACCTTTACCTTGTGATACAATCACATATTCGACGAGATAGAATGGAGTTATTATCCTAGTACCCAAGGATACAGTTGTGGGATTGACCATTCCTAAAATCTCTGTTAGCTACAGAGGTAAAAGTACATCCACGGATGTCAACGGTTGGTACCATTACAGGTATACGATTAAGGGATTAACTTTTCCTATACCCAGCTGTTAGCAACAGAGGTAAGAGTACGTCTACGGATGTCTTAAAGTTAACAAGGTTAGTTACCCTAGTACCAAAGGGTAATATTCAGGTTAGTTATATTATTACCTTTATTGTGTGACTCATTCACATAATCATTGAGGTGAATTATATTTAGGTATCCTAGTACTAAAGGATACAATTTCTTATAATGAAATTAATAATAACACAGTTAAGTCTTGGTAGAAGACTCCTTTTGTTACTAATAGGAATCTTAGGGATTCTAGGGTTTTTCAAACATTTACAGTTATTCTAAAAACATTTTCATACTTATTCGAGCTTTCTTTCAAAACAATGTCAAGTCTTAAAATTATAAGTTTTACAAATTAAGACACATTAATACTTATGATCTCACCAGCTTCAAAGCTGATACTCGCTTTCAAAATTATTTGTATCCTCAGTTCATCATAGACAGGTACCAATGCAAGTAGAAAGGAAGATGGAGCTTGTTCAAGACTTATCTTTCATTTTGATTTATGCTTTATTGTTTATCAAATTTTGACAGAACACATTTGTATAATAATTATATTATTAATGCAATGGATGATGTTGTTGCTTGTTTACTACTTTACATTGTTGTTGATATTATACATGACGTCCTCCGCCCCAGAACGTTTCCGCCGTTCCTGGTTTTGGGGTGTGACAGATTGGTATCAGAGCATTGTTTATAGTGAATTAAGTATATCAATCCATAAAAGATATACTAACTATAAATACATAAGGGATTAAAAATACTCTGACCAAGAGTTTATACTTTAAATAGTAAAATATTTAAGTAAGTATACGTGATGCATTCATACTAAAATCAGTGTCACTAGGACAGTACAAAAAGAATTACGATTGTTGGGCAATACAAGTGGGCTTAGAGACATATGGTCAAAACTGGGAAGATATAGCCTGATCACCTATATTAATGCAATGGATGATGTTGTTGCTTGTTTACTACTTTACATTGTTGTTGATATTATACATGAAGTCCTCCGCCCCAGAACGTTTCCGCCGTTCCTGGTTTTGGGGTGTGACAGATTGGTATCAGAGCATTGTTTATAGTGAACTAAGTATATCAACCCATAAAAGATATACTAACTATAAATACATAAGGGATTAAAAATACTCTGACCAAGAGTTTATACTTTAAATAGTAAAATATTTAAGTAAGTATACGTGCTGCATTCATACTAAAATCAGTGTCACTAGGACGGTCCAAAAAGAATTACGATTGTTGGGCAACACAAGTGGGCTTAGAGACATATGGTCAAAACTGGGAAGATATAGCCTGATCACCTATATTATCCGAGGGTTGACTAGCATGTGCCTAAGTTTAAGTGTGTCGTT